TATATCTATATCTATATATATATAGATATATATAATAAATTTAACGAAATGTGGAAGTCAACATCATTCGCCATTTTTCTCGTTTTTTTTCCCGATATTCTGGCAGTCAGAGTTTGTGTTTCTCTCGAAAACGCCAGCAGTGCAGTCACTTCCGTCAGCATCCCACTGGATTCACAATGAAATTTTAAAAACGTCCAATATTTGAGGCAGATGACATTTTATTTCGTTAGAATTAAAACGGGTAGAGATTAATCTTAGGTAAATTATTTATATGTATAACAGAAAGTACCTAAAACTGTAACCGACCTAAGCGTGGAACGAAATCTTCCCAAAATTGACACTTGTAGTTATATTAATAGAAATATTAAAGACATTTGAAAGAAATTGACTAATTAATAGTTTCTCGGCCAAAGTCTTTTTTTTTTGTACGAACTTTTGAAAGTTTTTAATATATATATATATCACAGATGGCCNGTATATCTTTTAAGGCATTTATGTACCTTAGTTTATCATCATTGATAATTTGTCGTCGTAGACCGGATGGCCAAGCGGTCAAGATGGTAGCCTACCGCTCTGGAGGAACCAGGATCGAATCCGGATGGGTTAAGGAATCCTTAGGAAATTTTCGGGGGGGTAGTCCGTTCGGATATGTCGGGTCCAGTCCCTCACCACCCTGTGGCCCGATTGTGTGCCTTTCCGAACTCTAAATGGGCCTGCTATACTCTTATAGCAGGACCATTAGGATTTTCCCTCTTAATCCCCACAGAGTGGAAAGAGTAAAAAAAAATAATAATAATTTGTCGTCTTTATGTTTGTTAACTTTTATAAATCTTCTAATATAATACTTTAAAACTCTAAATTTATTCATTTATAACTTTTGCATTTCTTGTCAATCATCAGAAATACCTACTTTCAATTCATATACTTTGCACAAAAGAGAAGGGCCTCACAAAGATCTGTCGCCCGGAGCCTCGCAATGGTTAAGGCCGCCGCTGAACAGGGGTCGGCATAATCGGTATTGCACACGGGCGTTCAAATAGCTAGCGGCTTCCCTGATCGGAATAAGTGAAGAGGCAAATAGTAAAATGCCTATTTGTAAAATTTCAGCACAGATGATATTGTAAATAATCATTTTCATATCTTCTGCCGTTTTAAATATAATCAGTCTTATTCGATTACTCAGAATATCATTTTTAGATATTCAGAACAACTCCCCTAGCCAATTCTATTTCTTCCTTAGCATTCTGTGGTGCCCACCAGTGGTCAAATGGATAAAACCACTGAACAGTCAAAGTTGGTACTGGGTTCATGCCTCGCTAACAGGCTGGCCACGTTTCTCAGGCTTTCCTCACGTTAGTAACACCTAATTTAAGGACCAGTTCTCCTCAAAAGACGTCCGGGAGGCATCTTTCTTCGGCAGATTGCTCATGTATCGCGTTGCCGTAAACAAACAAGCCTAAATCGAAACCTTAGCATTCTGTACCTCAGTGAACGGTCTTGATCACATAAATTATAAGAAATTGACATATTTAGGCAATCGAAATTGCGAATTTGTAAAAGTTTTGCGTATCTCTGAAGGTAAATTTTTTTGAAACGTTGCTCAGGTATCATTAAACAATATAAAAGTAAAAGCTACTCAAATAGACACACAAAAAGAGAACAAGATACACATGTAAATTCAGTACGGAGGAAAAGGAAATATGAACAGTGTGGTCTCATTAAAATTGAGTTGCATGCTATTTCACTTTTTTATTATATCCAATTCTACTATAGAAACATTTATTATTACTTAAATTTCTTATCAAATATCCGATTATTCTGTTAAAAGATTGCGAATATTCTCTGTATACAATCTTATTTCTGTGTAAAAAAGTATTAAAAGTTTTTATGCAATTTTTCATTTACCAGAAAAAATATTTATCAAGTCAAATTTTAATTATTCTCCTCATTCAAAGTTTATAACACATTAAAAATGAGTCCTGCTCAATGTATTATAAATAGCCGCAGTATTTTGACTGTGCAAAGGTAGCATAAAATAGTTCATAAAATCTGGATTGATATTTGAAAGAAACGATTTTTTCGAATGATAACTCCAATCGAAGCCGTAGGCAGTAATTGTATATGGCTTCGATTGAAGTTATCGTTCGAATTGGTCAGCACGCATAATTAATATGCATGCTAACCAATATCAGTCTAAGAAATTTACGTAAAGTTAATTTGTAATGGCGATTTCTTTTATTATACAATAAAACCTCTGAATAATGGTCACTGATGAAAACATTAAAAAATGATCGTTGTTTGTTGATTATTTTGTATTCATTTTTGTTTTAAAAAATAAAAACATCAAAAAACGAACTCTGTTTAGATATTGCCATTCTGGAAGGTAAACGTTATTGGTAGTTCGACTATATTTAGAATAAGCTTTTCTATTCTTATTAGCACTTATTAGCTCTTATTATACTTTATAGTAAATTACTTTTGTAAATTAGCATACATAGAATATTTTAATATTGCATACAGTTTTCGCAAATTAATTATAATTGTTAAAGCTATTTGATAAAAATATAATAGTTACGTTTCTTTGAAAATCAATAATGCTTTCTTTAATATGTTATTGTATTAAAGAAAACATTACTTTATTTTAATTAGAAAAAGTTATTTTACTGTTAAAATTGTTATTTCATTTTATTTATAGTATGAATAATAATTTATTGTATATCATAAAAAATAAATTTTTTCTGACAAATATTAAAATTTCTGTCCATCTCTCGAATGTTGTAGTCTATTAAAATCGAACATTTAATATTTTATTTATAAGGTATTTTTATAATTATAAAAACATAATAGCAATGGTTTTGATGAATGGATGGAATAAGGCAACACAACACTGTAAGGGGGTACCTCCCGGTAGGTCCGGGTGGTACCCCTGCCCCTGGTGTTACACACGTGAAGAAAACAAGGCAATTCCACTTGACAGTTTGTTGATCAGGCGTGCCCTCGCGACCCAATGATTTTGAAATAACAGTTAAATTAAACTGTTCAGTTTTAGCTCTATGCCAATTATAAGAAACTTTATTACTATAATGCAANAATAATAATAATTTGTCGTCTTTATGTTTGTTAACTTTTATAAATCTTCTAATATAATACTTTAAAACTCTAAATTTATTCATTTATAACTTTTGCATTTCTTGTCAATCATCAGAAATACCTACTTTCAATTCATATACTTTGCACAAAAGAGAAGGGCCTCACAAAGATCTGTCGCCCGGAGCCTCGCAATGGTTAAGGCCGCCGCTGGACAGGGGTCGGCATAATCGGTATTGCACACGGGCGTTCAAATAGCTAGCGGCTCCCCTGATTCCAACAGGATAATGCTGCTATTCATGCATCAAAGTCAACTAAAAATTGGTACAACGCGTTACAGCATGAGTGGCTGCGACTGTGCGACATCTGGTGGTGGAACGTAGAAGTTCCTCGGGATGGCTGCGGTCTACAATCCCGGTATCAGATGAGTGTCTGATCGTTTTTTTTTGTCGCGAGATTACATTTAACGATTCTGTCCGAGTATCTTCAGAAAGTATATGTAAAAGAACAAACACGTGGAGTGTCGAAATCTGTAAAAGAATCCTGTAAAGAAAATAAACGGGCAAAGAAAATAAACGGATAAAGAAAGAACATAGGTGTATGTTATATGCTTATCCTCTTGTTGAGTTACACTCACCACGTGCATATCGTACACAATACATATTTCTTACGTATAAAGATTTTTATTTAAAAAATATTTAAATATATAAAACATATACAATGGCAATTGTATATGTTTTATATATTTAAATATTTTTTAGATAAATAGGAAGAATGACAATTGCTCATTCTTCCCATTTCTCTAAAAAATATTTAAATATGACAATTGCTCATTCTTCCTATTTCACCAAAATAATAATAAAAAGGAGGTTGACGACTGCATGAAAATTTACATACTAAATTATCATTTAACAGATTTGTTTTTTTCCCAACTTTTGGTGCTGGAGTTTATTTGTTTAACTGTTGTGTTTTGTAACACTGGCGCCAAAACAATATCAAACATTTTCAAACAAGGTCGCCTCCGTGCTTGTGAAATTGTGGATTGTCTACTGGAGCGAACGACGGATGGAAAACGGAAGCAAAGTATCTTTATCTTTGTTAAACGTTGCAACTTTATTTATACAATTAAGTGTAATGAAATTAAATAAAACTTTATTAGTTTTGTATAATACAATAAATGTTTTGCGATTTTATATATAAAAATAAAAAAGTAGCGTATTTTTAAGATTTTTAGCCTGAAGATAATTATCACTAGCCCAAAAAGTAGCGTGTCGCCCAATTTGAAATTTTTGTAACGAGGGCATATAAAAAGTAACCCAATCCGCTACTTATAGCCCAATCTGGCAATTATGTTTACTCTACCTCTATGGTGTTAATGATTATTAGTTCACTCGATATATTTCGCTAGAAGCGCTTCTGTCGGTCTCAGCCAGCCAATTTGTTCCTGCAACTAGACGCATGTCATAAGAAAATCCACTTAATTAATTAATGTCCACAAGGTGGGAAAAAATTAAACAAGAAACTAGACTTAGCAAGAATCATGGAATACTAAACATGGCTCTAGAGTCTAGAGTCTAGACTCTAGAGCCATGTTTAGTATTCCATGATTAGTATTGATACACCACTCTCACCTTTTTACAAATCTATTAATTCTTTCGATGGCATAATATACTGTAACAATATTCTTATTAATTTTCTTGAATGATAAATATATTTTTCTTGCTTTCATCAAAATTTTGAAATGATTGTTTTTACAAATAATATATAAATTTTTATGAAATAACTGATACACTGCATATAGTGTTTCGAAATTGATACGAAAATCTCTCGTTCCATCAAGATAAAAAAATTCAAATTTCGTTTCACAATTATTTCTAAATCGACATTGCGATGATTTCAAGAAGTTTAAGAAACATTTGAAATTATAAAGTGGTTTATTTCGTAATAATGGAGAGTTTAACGATGACAACAGATTTTGTCCAGATATTCTCTTCCATGGCTGCCACCGCATTTTGTAGTGGCCTTAGTGAAATGTAAACGCATGTAGGTATCTTTTAACTTTATATTAATGATTCGATATTCCTCTTTGCCACTATGTAAATCAGTGGCGTGCTGTGACATTTGACGATAGGGAAGCTGTGTTTATGTAAGAAGCCGACATCCAGGGGCAATCAGTTAATTGCGCGTCAGTGACGGTCTATGGTCCATTCGTATCGTTTATTCGATAAGCCAGTAAAAACCGTAGACTTCTCTAAATGCATTTTTAATATCACAATTACATTCCGAATCGCTAGCCACGATATAAGGGCTACAATTAAAAATAAAATAATAAAAACTTACTCGGTAAAATAAAATATGTGGTGGATGTACCGGTACATACAAAATATTCTTCAATTATATGAATATACTTTTAA